CTTTTGTGCTGATGTGCCATTCTGAAAAAAGTAAATAAGACAATTATTGAAATACAAAGCAACACTTACATAGTATTACAGTGGAGACGGTGTATGTTGTTTGGGGAATCGGAATACAGGATATTGAAAAACGTTTTTTTCCATCAACTGCCAGATTTCAGAGCTAGTTCTAACGGGGAAGTTTTAAATAAGTTTTTGCCATCTTTGCTTGACTTTTATATTGGTGTGCAATGAAGTACAACATAAGTACAACATCTCCTTCATTCCTGCAAAACTTGAATGGTTTCGTCTTACAAGCAGGGGGAATATCTAAATAAGCAAAACTTGCATATAAATCTTTCAAATCACGCCACGGAAAATTAGTACTTGAAACAAGAAACTGTTGGCGACGAACTTCAATATTGTACGGTATAGTTCAATATATACTAAAAGCTCCGGCCTGTGCGAGTCCACCCCCAAAATCCTTTTTAACTTACAAAACTACGGTAGCAACTTAGGCCAAAAATTACACGATCTATCCAAGAAACTGCAACCACCTCTTTTCGAAGTACCTTTCTTCAAACTGCTCCGATAATTTACTACGAAAAAGATCCCGTAACACGTGCAATCTGATCTATGGCCCGACCTTACATAAGCCGGGTAAAGACTTTTCCGACATAACCACTCAGAATGGCAACAAATAACACTCCTGATAAAACTATACATCCTCCTTCGTACATTTAAAGATATTTCATTTAAGTACGTCCATTTTCTTTGCTACATACCAATGCCAAAGTTTGTGACTGGGGGCGAATGGCTGTTGAAAGAGGCCGAGATAGTGCGCGACCATTGCCAACCTACAAATATCAAAGCACTTCGGTTAAAATGCCGTAAAAATCACCAAAGAATTGACAGAAAACGCACTTACAATACTCCTAGCTACTGGGGAGGTAAATTTACTGCAGGAGAACATGATTGCGAATAATTTCTCTTCTCGAAGATGCCACGCTCCGTTCTACTTTCCAAGATGGACGGCGAGGAGGGACGCTGAAGTGTATTATGGGTATTCATGTGATTGCGTGGTTCTCTGGGATGCGCCTCGTTTGGGAGCAAACTTGTGGTTGTGCAAGATGCGGCAAATATGTCATCGTTTTTCATCAGGGGGCTGTCATGTTCCATACAATGAACGGGTCAAAAAATAATTTCGTCAGGTTACAATGTATCCTGAAAACAATTCATTTAGAAAAGGGAAAGCATCGCCCTCTATTAATATATACGTTTCTTTCTCCAAAATTTTTGAACAGAAAGCCAAAATGCGAATCGAATTGGAAGATAGGTCAGAGTAGGGGAAAATAGACCAGGCTGTGACAGTTTAGCCGGATTATGTTTATAGGCAATTCTGACTGCTTTCGGGATGTCTTTGCAAAACTTTGCCATATTTAGGTTGGTACATCTTGCTACAGTAACCTTGGGAAGCTGGGCTTATAGCCTACCCCAGTTTACAACGTAATAAGGAAAAAAGCTTGTGTAACTTAGGACTCGGTAAAACACTGGGACTATAAAAATCTTTGAATACAGGGAACTATAATTAAAACGCAGCTAGTGAAGTTCTTGTTGCCGAAACACTTTGTGTTGAGAATTGCTCACGAGAGCCCATAGCAAAGAGGATCTAAACTATTTTATTGCAAGTCTGGCCAGCACTACAGCAAAAGGGTACAATCAGGCCCAGAAGGCCAGCAATATTTCGCGGACTAGAGAACAACTAGTATTTTTTTACGGCAAGTGATATACAGTCATCGCACAGGGCCTGGAGTTTTTTCTTGTACCCTATAAATCAAATTTGTAAAATGTTTTACATCCTTCCCTAAGCAGGACGGCAAACTTTTTGTGCTAAGTCCGTTCATATTGCGATCGCCGGAATCTGCATGGCCTTTGTAATGATGCTGACTAATCCAAGAGAGAATTTTTTGAAGATTAAAAGCCTTTCTTACAGTACGTGACAGTAATAACCCAGGCAAATTCAGCGTTAATGGCCTTAAGTGAAAAAGTCAAACCACTCCACGGTTCATCTGTCGCCGAGATATTAAATTTTAAAATTTTCCATTTTCTAAAGTCATCAAACGAGGACAGTACTTATAAAGTCAACCTGTTTCTGACAATCGCAATAATTTATAACTCAGCCATGATTTAACAAGAAGCTGTTGGGAGTAAAATTCTTTATTGATAGATGTGATCATAATTTGCATAATAATCTAATGCAGTTTATGGAATTTTATCATCATTCGTTTTACTCAGTATTGTTATCATCATTGTTATCATAAATCATCTTTTTGTTGCTGTTGTTGTTGTTTCTTGAATATAAGTAAAACCAGCCAGGAATGCATTAATGGGCTCCTAAGAACCGATAGAATTCAGTCACAATTCATCAGAGTGCGGCATAGTTTTTTCCTTCTTCTCTGAATCTGCACTTATGGTTTGCTGTGTATCAGCATCAGTCTCTGTTGATATGGGGGCCTTCGTTTCCATTTTATCTGAAGTTTGGTCATGCGCAGTATTGGTTTTGCTTGAATCATCATTGGGACCTGCGATCTGGGGAGATCCGTCGAAACCTACTTCCAAGTCCACTCCCTTCATTACGTCTCGTCCATAGATTTCAATCAGTTTATTCAGCGCCGTTGCATAGTATGTTTCAGGAACTATATTCTCAAAGAATTCAGCTAAGAGCATTTCTCTTTCTCTAAGCAACTTCATATCTGACATAGCTCCCTCGAAATAGGCACAGAGAGATGAGAGGGCTGTTTCCCAGGTCATGGGTTTCCAGTCGAGAAGAATCTTTGCCTTGCTAATGTCCAGTGGTCCCTTGGTGACAGTAGGATAAGTATACCATGTTTCATCGTTATCAGAAAGAAACTCTAGTTTATCAATTTCGAGCTTATCGGCGATGTCTCGGAGCAGTTTTTTCAAGGTAAAATGTTCATTAAACGCAATGTTTATGGCTTGGTTGTGAACCGCAGGACCAGCATCTAGAACTTTCTCGATGGCTTTAGCTGCATCTTCCACGTGAATTAAACTAAACTTATCATCGGACACACCTTCGGGCATGTGAACAGGGTGATGAATGTCCTTATGAATACGTATCCACAACTGGTAAGTCCAAAATCGGAACGAATTATCACGTGGTCCGATCACATCCGGAAGTCTCAATGCCACATACGGAAATCCACCTTCTTTTCGCTGTTCTTGGAGCACTTCTTCACAGGCTAATTTGTCATGTGCGTATTTTTCTTCTCTTTTAAGCTGCAGTCGTTTCTTTGGGCTTTTTGGTCTGACTGCGTCTTCTTCAGTTGTAGGTCTAGAATGCGTCTTATCGCAGACTTCGTAGACTGAATCAGTGCTTATATAAACATAAACACCAACTCTGTCTTTTAAGATGTCCACCACCTGTTTCGTCTGTCTCGCGTTGTAAGAGCTAAAATCAATGACTGCGTCATAAGAACCAGAAGTTAAAAGTTCCTCGCATTCAATCTCAAGAAGTTTATCTCTGTTGCATATAAAATGAGCACTTACAAAAGGCTTGATGCGTTCTTCGGAATCGAAGTACCAGTTACCTCGATTGACCATTGTGATTTCATCTCCACGGTCAATTAACCTCCGTACAGTTTCACTGCCAATAAAACCATTTCCTCCAAATACAAGAATTCGCCGCCCACTTGATTTAATACCATCGCTTTCATCTTCGCTGGATGCAAAAAGCATATAAAAGTTGATTATAATAGTTATCACTAATAGTCTCTTGAGCTCCATTCTCAGTCCTACAAAACCTAATGATGCAGATTAATCCGCTATATCATTATCTATTACTGTTGGTAGTGTGGTATACTCATTAAAATATCGGATCCTTCAGCTGTGCAAACTTTCGAGAAATATTGACCAGTAAAATTAAAGCACGGCATTCAAGGCCTTCTCGCTGAATATGAAATAGAATTAATTACATTTGAACAATGGGTGATAAAATGCTGGCTTACGTGTCTTTTTATCAATAACTTATGAGCCTTAAAAAGTTGGTTTACCAAGTGTGTATGAGCTGTAACTTGTATTAAACTGAAGAACCTAACTGGAAGGTTTTTAATCATATATTACGACTTCTGAGGACTTAGCTGTCTAACCTGCTTTTCAAAGTTCGCAAGGAAAAATTCATAGTCTTTTCGCTGCATGCTTATTATTCTTTTAATTCACATTGAGCGATGATTCAAAAAAGAAAAATACATTTAACAGTTGGTTTAGTCACAGTTTTAGCAATTTATNCAGAGAAAAAAACGGACTGTTTTGCAGTCTAGGCCAGACTCGTACCCAGTCGCTATTTATGTTTTTTGGGTGTGAGAGAAGATTGGGGGTTAGGTTGAGGCGCGCACGGGGCCTAACCCTCAATCTTTTCTCACCCCAAAACACATAAATCAGCGACTGGGTACGAGTCTGAGTCCAGGCTATATATGGCTGCCTGTCTAGAACAAATCCTGTTTGGTTAATGTTGCCTTCCGAGCACGCGCACTAGTCGCTCCGTTAATGGTAGTTCTTTTACAAATTGTAAAACCGATTATCAACTAAATAATAGCGAGCTCAGTTTTAATCCACCCAAGAAGTGATTAGTAGCTAAAGAACTTTAGTTACGTTTTTGTCACGTTTTTAAATTTTTGTGATCAGTAAGATAAAAAGGAAAGATGGCAATGAAACTGCAATGTAAAATGCAACGATTTAAAAAGGGAATAAGTTTCCTATAATAAGCTGCTCCTTATAAAGTTAGAATATCTGGAATTCGAGGACGAGATATTTTATTCCTTTTATTAATACAGGATTAGAGATATCACCGCGTTGCGTGAGTCATTTAGATGACATGCCACCAAGAGCCTTTTTTAAAGGTGTTAAACGAGTCAATATATACAAATTAAAATTTGTATATATTGACCCGTCGAAAAGACAACTGACTTACCATACATATTGATGTTTTCAAACTCGAAAAGTTACGCTTAATGTAAATTTACAGATCATGAAATTTGTATTAAGAAGCGGTAAGACAGGATCGTCTCTTGGAAACGGCTATTCAAGAATACAGAAATTTTCCCCCAAAACTCTTGTAAGGTGCGTCTTAGCCTGCAGCACGGGCGTTTTCATCGGGCGCACGAATGTTTTTGCCCGCGAAAGCGCCATGTCGAAACTCCCGAAGAGAGGAGGAAATGGCGCGAGTCAAGGGTTACTATTTTTACTCTCCCCAATCTTCCTCTGTCATAAAATCAAAGATTTCGCCCGGCTACCCAAAATAGGCCTGCACTGCAGGCTAGGTGCGTCTTGGTGTTAACCGTGCATAAGGACTCTTGAAGGGCCGACCTGGGCACTCCGGCGCGCGTATGTAAAGTGCGAAAAGCAGACCGGAGCATAGGGACTTTTGAATTTGAATTTGATTGGTTACTACTGTGGAGATGTCTGACATTTAAGACTAGGCTGATATCTGCGATCGTAAGAAAAGCTTAGGGACCGCTCCTGGCTTTGGATTTTGGTGGACATCCGACAAGATTCACATTCGTAGTAATTTCTCAGTATACTGTTTACAGTTGGCCTGAATTTCAGCAGTCTCCTCGAGTCGCAAAACTCCCCTTTCGGCTCGGGGAGACAGCTGAAATTCAGGCTAGTTTACAGTCCCCAATTTCTTTCCGCCTGCCTGGTTGAAGGTGGCGATCGTAGCTGTCACAGCGATTTGGGTATCTCCTGGGACATTGCAACTTTTTTTCGTTCTGAGTGCTGAAACGCTATCCCCTCCCTATATTTTGAGCCCAAGCCTAAGATCTCGAATTTACCCGAGGCACTTGAAAGTTTCCTTTTGCAACTTTTCTTTTGTAAACAGTATTTTTGTAAACAGTATTTTGCAGCAGTAAATTGACAGCTGCTATGAAACTCCTAGATAACGAGAGCTCGTCCGGTCTGCTCGACCTATCGCCAGATGTCCTGCAAGGGCTACAGGACAAACACCCACAGGCAGCTGATATCGCAGAGGAGAGTTTGTT